TTCCTATCAACAATGATTGAGAGTTCCTGCAGCTCCGTGTTCTTTCAGCATTTGGTGATGTCAGTGTTTTGGATTTTAGCCATTCTAATAGGTGTGTGGTGACATGAGTTATATTTTGCCTTTTTGTTATATTTGGAAATTCCTTTATTTTAAAATAGTACCCTCATCTTAATTATTGTGTAACTCTTATACACAACATTTATATGATTTCTATTTATGACTCAATTAGCTATAGATCTTACGTATATACTTCATTACTTTGGTGGTCAAAGCCATATGTTAACACTTTCTATTTCCCATATTCTAATTTATGACATATAAATTTACCCTTTCTATTACTGAGTCGACAAAGGTCTTTTAACATGAACTTTATCTTATTAAAGTAAGTTTTTCTCTTACGTTTCCCATCAACTGAGTTTCCTTTTTTGATGTATGAAACAAACAAGTACCCCTTGCCATCTAAATTCCTATTATCCTGAAGGGGGATATTAGTTTCCAAAAAAGAATCATACATTTTTAATTGTAGTGCAATGCATTATCCTATTTTACCTTCACATTAGATATTGACATCCTTACGCTAATTAGGCCAGCATTAGATAGTTTATTTGTGATGAAACTTGAACTAGAACATGGTCCTTCTGACTCTTACAATGTTCACTTCCCCTTGGATAACCAATAACATGGAGATTTTAGAGGTGATCCCTTATATCCCCCAGAATTTACTGAAAAATAAAATTAAAAAAGAAAGTAAGGGACATAAAGAGCAAGCCAACATATATATGAATTTATTGAAATTTTTCAAGGACCTATTGTTATCTATTGCATTCTGTCCCCCCAAAGTATATACTGAAGTCCTAATTACCAGAACCTCAGAATGTGACTTTATTTGTAAATAGAGTTTTTGCAGATGTAATCAAGTTAAGATGAGATAATTAGCATGGGCCATAATCCATCTGATTAGTGTGCTTATAGGAAAGACAGAGATAGAGAGAAATCCATGTGACTGATGACAGAGGTAGAGATTGGAATGCCTCTGTCAGCTTCAAGTCAAGACGACTACCCCCAGAAACTAGGAAGAGGCAAGGAAAAATTCCACTCAGAGTCTAAGGGACCTTCAGCCCATTGACACCTTGATTTCAGACTTGTAGCCTACAGAACTATGAGAGAAAAAAATTTGGTTTAGAGAGAAATCCATGTGACTGATGACAGAGGTAGAGATTGGAATGCCTCTGTCAGCTTCAAGTCAAGGAACACCAAGGTTTGACGACTACCCCCAGAAACTAGGAAGAGGCAAGGAAAAATTCCACTCAGAGTCTAAGGGACCTTCATCCCATTGACACCTTGATTTCAGACTTGTAGCCTACAGAACTATGAGAGAAAAAAATTTGGTTGTTTTAAGCCACCCAGTTGGTGGCACTTGGTTACTTAAGCCTTAAGGAATTAATACACCATTCTAGGGCAAATAAGAATGTCAGTGAAGCTATATATTCTCCTATGACTGCATACTTCAGGACCAGTATATTTTTCGTTATGGTCAAGTGCATGATGATCTTTTATTTATTATTCATTTTCACCTAGAGATGTTTTCTCCTAGGCTATTGTCAACCCCAATACGACTATTATAGTTGCTACTGGGGGACAAGGGAGGGAAAAGATGTATTTGTTAGCCATGATATGGAGAATTGGGAAAAATTGCCTAAATACCCTCTTAAATCCAAACGAAACAAAACAGAAAAAGAGAAACAAACAGGAATACAATGACAGCTCCCCAAATATGAAAAAAGCATAATTTAATGTTTTTTGTGTGTTTGGCTTTGTCATGATATATAATGTCATTCAAACCTACTCCTCCCTCTTCTGGAAGGCAGTTTACTGAAGATAATCTATATTAAAATCAATACTTATAATTTGTTCTGATTTTAGGGACATTATTTCCCATGCCTGAAAGATTTTCCCTTTGGTTACTAGAAAACCAGAGCTCCTATGTCATTGATATAAACCATTGTTTTCCTTCTGGCTTGTCAAAATTTGCCATTCTTCGCAATTGGCTAAATATGCACATTTTTATCACCTCATCTGATGGCAGCTGCTAAGGTGCCACTTACATGTTCCAAGTCTTACTGGTCTCAAAATCAACGTTAAAATAATTTATGGCAAACTGACAAAGTCAGGGTTTTATGCTGGTGGGGCTCTGCCTTTCTAAACTTTAATTAAACACCTCCATGTTCCAAGTCTTACTGGTCTCAAAATCAACATTAAAATAATTTATGGCAAAGTGACAAAGTCAGGGTTTTATGCTGGTGGGGCTCTGCCTTTCTAAACTTTAATTAAACACCTCCAATTCATTAAAAAGAACTAAAGAGTTAAATATATATTGGAATGATAGAGTGGCTATTTGATCTCATAGATTCATTAGAACCTATTTAGGATTTGGATAACAAAGACAACAAAGATAAATTTATTGATAGAAAGTTAATAATCAATGATACTCAAAGATATAAACTGTGATTTACAAGAGATTTGTCAGCCATTCCTTGACCTCTGGATACATTCCAATGAATATTTAATAGCATAAAATTTCAGCTTTTACTTTCACGTGTCTTGAAAGTTTTTGATAAGAAGATTATCAAATTTTACACCTACAAAACAATTTTTCCTTATAGAATAAATAATGTAATCCCACATACAACTAGTACTGTAAGAAATCTAATTCGGAAACCATTCAGTGACTGGTAAATTCAATGCAAAGAGCATTCTTTGAGGGTCTATGCAGTACCAGGCATCACTTTACTCTAACAAGGGAAAAACAAACCTTAGCTATTGAACATACTGTACTCAGAAGGTACTGAAATATTAGCCTCGTGGGAATGAAAGGGAGTTTATCTTAAACTTTAGCCAAAGCAAAGGTGATTTACTCAATCAGGGCCAGATAATAGAGGACTTGACATGCCACGCTGAAATGTTTTGAGCTTCATCCTCTGAGCAATAAAGTTTGCTGTGCTGACCATGTTCTATGAAATTAATCTGAAGATGGAATGCAAAATTTATTAGACACAAGAGAGCCTGTAGGAAAGAAGATCAGAAATGAGGTGAAGAGGATTTAAAATCCAGAATAATGGAAGGAGAAACTGAAATAAAGGAGTTAATGAATCCTGAGTCAATAGGATTTTGTAGGAGGATGAATGTAGGAAGCAAGGTGATGATAAAACAACACACATGTGTTGCAAAGAATAAAGAATTTTTTTAAAAATTAAGCACTTAGTACTAGTATATACCACTAATTTTCATTAGCTGATTCATTTCTTATTTTAATTAAACCTCATAATAAACTTATAAACTTACAAGGTAGTTTTTATTATTCACATTTTCTTCGTTATGTATCTGAACCCCAGAAAGTTAAAAGTAAGAAATTATTAGGAAGGAAATTTGAATCCAGACATTTTCACTTTAAACTCAGTAAGTTTTCCTCACTGTAATGTAGCTATTTTTATATTATAATGAAATAAATGATCAAACCAGTCATAGTATTTCTAAATTTGGTAGGCAGTATATATTTTAAGAATAAAAATACATACCCTTGCTTTTTTTCTTTTTTGCATTTGAGTATATAGATCTGTAAATGTACAATTAATATATCTAATACTTTTACCTATTTTGTTAGTTGAATATATTTTTACCCATTTGACAAGTAAATATATAATTTAAGAACATAAACCCTTTGAACATCTAATTTATTGCAAATATTTCCTGCTTTAATTTACTTTTATTTTATATTATTTGGGAAGATTATGAATATGAAGTTTTCTTTCTTTCAAAATATTGACTTTTTTGGTGAATTCTTACTATTTTATGTCTGTTTTCAAAGAAATAGCATAGTGCAGTTTTACATAATCTTAGCAGTTCATGAGTACCTTATAAAATGAAATATGTTGCTTGTATACACAAAATATTTTAAGATAGCTTTCCCATTTTGGTATCCCCTTCTCATTGTGGATCTTCTTTTCTCCCAGGCTGCAACCCAAATCTACATTTCCCAGAGTCCCTTGCAACTAGTTTGTATAAGCAACTTAAGTCAACATACCTTCTCAGAATTAAGAAGAATGGTATGAAGACTGAGTGAGGCTTAATGGCCTTTCTGACAAGTACAGTTGTGTAGTCATTTGATTTTCTTTGCAGCAGCTTGGCAAAGATTCTGGTGTCTGTGGATGTGGGGGTGTGAAGAGGGATTTCTCCTGGAACAATCCTATGGGATGATTGGACATTCTTACTGGCTTAAACTCTTCTGATTGATTACATGGCTCCCTATACATTCAATAATTACATTACCTAATGTATACCTTGAACTAAATCTATTTCTGCTTTAATTATCCAAAATTAAATCTATGTGCAAATAAATCCCAAACGATACAAAAATTCTCATATTTATTTTCTTCTCAGAAAATATGCAAATACGTATCTTGCAAGACTACTGATTTTTTCCTAATATTCATTCTTCTTGGTTTCTTAAGTAGTTGAAGCTTCCATTTCTAACCAGATAAAGATATTTCTAGAATAAAATACTATGAAATTAAAAGAAAAAAAAAACTAAAGTAACAATGCAAAAAACTCTTGAATAGAGTACCTTTGTACATTTGGGGGAAAAATATCACCTTGCTAAGTCCTGTTGAGCAGTTTACTGCTGTCTCTTCTCACATGGCTTTTCCTCCTTTTTTGTTTAATCACACTTAAAGGCATATCTTCTCTGACTCTCCTTCTGCCTAACAATTTGAGCTTTTAAAACTGCATTGTTAACCTGAAGACAGATCATATGTCCTTTCTGAATACACCTTTCTATGTTCTGTGAGACCGTTCTACAAAATTTTCCAGACTTTATTTCCGTCACAGCACTAGTGAGTGATTTTGAGCTGCAATCCACACATGTTTAAACATACTTTTTACATAATTCGTTCTCTTTTTCCCCCTCTTCTGTTTCTTCTACTCTCTCTCTTTTTCAGATTATTAGTTTATTAAATGTCTTCACACCCCAGAAAACACTGGAGGAGTTCCAAGATGTGTAAGTAACAAAACTTGTGAAGAAAGGGAGAGCACAGCATTCCAGTAACTCAGGGGAAAATTCCCCCCAAATAGATGAAATCTCTTGTAGAGACCAAAGGGAGGTAAGAGCTGGGATCACATGGAAGGGATCCATTGATAGGTAGAGAAGATTCTGTCTGTGGTGTTACTTCCAAGAAGGCACTTTTGCTTCTTTCTGGCCTTATGGTTCTATGTGCTTCAGTGTTCCATGCTCTTGGTTCAATCAGGAAGGCTTGTTTATTTATCTATTTATTGTTAATTGATTCCATGAGCTGTCTAGAATGAGTCAACTTACTTTGAGAAATATTCATAAAAGAGACACTGTAAAATTATCTTTATTCTTTATTTCTCTTTTTGTGGTGCCTTTGATTTTGTGCAAAAAGAGTTTATCTGTAAATATAGTGACAAAAAGCAGGGGAGAGGAAGTGCTCCCCAGCACATTGTCTTATTTAACTCAGAATTACATTTAATGGAAGGAGCTTTTCTGAATTTTTTTCTTATTTGAAATCATAACACATGGGAAAGAGTTGAGGGAGTGCTAGGAAAAGTGAGAGCAAGACAAAGGCAGAAATATATGGGCATGAACAACCTCCTAACAAATGCTACTTCTGTTAGCAGCTTTGTGGTAGAGTCACTATAGCTAACACACGTGCAAAACTGTACCTGGAAGTTTGATTCAGTCAAGGGCAGAGCTGAGAAGTTCAGAAGACTTACAGATTTAGGAGAGAATTGACTTGATCAAAAGACTTCATAGGTCTTGTGGTCTGGAACTAACATTGTGGGTTTACTTTCTAGTTATTTAGTAATGGAGCTGATGGATGCCAACTTGTGCCAGGTGATTCAGATGGAATTAGACCATGAGCGAATGTCTTACCTGCTATACCAAATGTTGTGTGGTATCAAGCACCTCCACTCTGCTGGAATTATTCACAGGGTAAGAATACCTACTTGAGAATTATAGTGAAGATGCTCTCAGAGATGAGAAAGAGCAACTGTAGATTATTTTCTTTATGTAGGGCAGCTTTGCCAAACATAATGTGCTTCCTCATTTCTTTGATAACAAAAATAGAAGATAGTTCACTAAAGTGTAGAAGGAAATTCTAGCTATACAGTAGTTGATTTTATTTAAAGTTATGTTTCAGCTCATTGAAAGTCAGCTTCTGAGAAGCCTCGTGCTGTCTAGCTCCTTGACTGGCAGAGGTCATATGTGCAGCTTAAATAAGACAGTTCATTTCCATAGTTCCTTTCTGGCAGCATAAAGACAGCTAATCTGCTCTTCTGTCAGGCTTAGAAATGAAATGTAAGCTAAAAATGCTTATGTTGTCCTAAGAAGAAACCTAACAGATGACAATTAATGATAGGTTGTTTTTTCTAAAACCTCTTCCTGAGATAAGTCTAAGTTGTAAAAATGATAATATGACTGTCTTCTGGGGAAAAAAACCCAAACAATCCTCTCTGGGGATATTTGAAAAAAAATAAAAAACTAATTGCAAACATCTTTGTGGCAGTAATCATATGCCTTACATAGGCTCTGCAGGCAAGAGACCCATCAGTGGTATTACAAGACTGACATATTGATTGAAGGGATGGAAATCACAGGTTCCATTTGACGCTGGCTTTTAATTTCTTCCCTTGCTCTTATTGTCAGGATTTAAAACCAAGTAACATTGTAGTCAAGTCTGACTGCACATTGAAAATCCTCGACTTTGGACTGGCCAGGACAGCAGGCACAAGCTTCATGATGACCCCGTATGTGGTGACACGTTATTACAGAGCCCCTGAGGTCATCCTGGGAATGGGCTACAAGGAGAACGGTAGGGATACTTCTGAGTAGCAGCATCAAAAACCATGAAGAAAATGGGTCCATGTTTTAGATAGCCAAGAGGAGTGGTCTCTTTTATAGATTTATAGATAGATAGATAGATAGATAGATAGATAGATAGATAGATAGATAGACAGACAGACAGATAGATCTGCCAGCTTTTATATTCAGAGTTTTTCCTACTTACATACTGCCGGGAAGGAGGGTGATCACTCATTAGAAATGTGAAGGATGTTTCTGAGAAGTAAGCTTTGCTGGAAGAGCACTGAAGTGTTATAACTATAAAGAATTGTAAATGGAGTGTGAGTAAACAGTCAAGTGGATACCGATTAGCACACGTGCTGTAGATATTGAGAAAAAATTGCTATTTGGGTTGCAGCTCAGCTCAGAGTGAATGTGAAAACAGGAAGAAATCTATCGTGTTTAACTATTTGGCTTTTATGTCATATGAGGACACTCAAAAAGTTCATGGAAGGATATGCATTATCTTTTAATTCTATTTTTCCGCAAACTTTTTGAAGTACCCTTGTATCTTAGATTGATGGCTTTAGTCCTGGGGAAACACAAAGAAAAAGATGCCATAAATCCTTGGAGTGAGACTCTTCACAACACTGAATGAATATTCAATTTGGATAAAAATTGTTTTAATACTTTAAGCTGCTCTGTAAGGAATATTTGGAGTAGCAGTTGCCAATTAAATCTTCATAAATTCCAAAAACCATAAAAAGAAAAATATTAAATTTTACACTACTGCTTTCATAAAGAAAATCTAATATTCATGAGCATTTTAGAAGAAAAGGTATAGAAAGAACTTAAAAATGTTTTCCAATTGGATTTTATTGATTAAAATAGAGGATTATAAAATACCGGTTAGAAAGCATTGCAATATGTTATTCTGATGAGAGTATTTCTTACAAGTAATGTACCATATTTAAAAAATATCAAATATACTTGGGAATTAAAATAGTTTTAAATTAGTATTGTGTATATGTACTCCATGTACCATTTATAGTTACTTTTATGTTCTAGTCTACCTAGTTCCCAGCAGTCTATTTTTATAAATTGTATAAAAGTAATTATCAGTATTTTTTATGTGCAGGTACTACGGGGTGCTCTTACAAAAATTCCCTGGCATCTGAAGTTTAAAAAAACTTCTTTGTGTGCTTTCAGATTAGAAGACAACCAATACTTTTGTGCATTTGCACAGAGGAAGGAAAAAAGTCAGCTTGTAAGAGAAGCAGGTGCCCCTTGACAGACAATGTCAGTTCAGGTAACTTCAGACTCAGGAGAGGTGAATCTAGCCCTCCTCCCAAGTCAATACCACATCTAATTTATTCAGAAAATAA